CACAAATAGACTAATAGAAGAAGCACATACAGAAAGAAATGAAAAATCTAATATACAATATAAATACAGGTCTAATTGTGGTAGTGGTGGTGGTCTAATTGTGGCATACTAAGCAAATACTCTGATGAACCATCTTGATATAGCACGAATTCTCTTTAGCTTGAGGAACACTTGTTACACATATAATATAAGGTTTGTCACAGGGAAATAAACTCAATGCCAGTTTGTTCTGTAGAAGCCCTCACAAGAGAAATTGCCTATTGAAAGGCTCTGAGATACTTTAGCTTTCTCATTCTTCTAGACAAACTTATACATACAACTTTAAAAGTCCAGTTAGAGTTCGATTGGCAGTTTCCCACAACTATAACATACGACATGGGAAGTGCTGAAGATGTCAGTAATATATATTCATTTGGTTTCTGTCTTCTTATCACAACAGGAATGAAGGGTCTCAGTCCACAGAGGTCTTTGGTATCATCAGGATCCACAGACCCTGGTAAGCTTAGGTCCCTGCAACAGGGCAGAAGGAAAGGAGATAAAAGTGCTAAGTAACAAGGGGGAGCAATTGCTGTTGGAGTGAGGTGCTAGAAGCCACCACTCGCTGCCAAGAAGAGTGAAAGTCARCCCTTGGGCATGTGTTTGTGTTGCAGCTGCTCACTGTGAAAGGGTACCTGAATAGTTCAGTAAGGGGCTCCTTTTCTGCTCATAACTAGAAAAATATGGCTGAATTCTCCATAAATCTGAATTCATCCTCTTTTTGAGGACCAGGCTTTTGCAGCCTGACTTTCCCCCAAGCCTGCCAAGCCACTAACTCCTGTAGAACATCACAGGAGAACAGCAATGAGGGCACACTGTCATAGCTGCGTACAGCCTTGGGAGCTGGACTCCACAAAGAAAACCTAATAAATAAAAATGTGGAAAAGAAATCACTACTTAACCTTTTAAGTTAACTTTTTTTACTAACTTTTTTTACTTAACAAGTAATACGACCAAGGCATTTTGTAACAGAGAATCAACCTGAGCCATTTTATCCTCAAGGTACTTGACCTCCAGAACTGGAAGACACCTATGGAGAGCAGGATAAAGCCCCATAAAACAGGAAACTGTCAGTGACCTCTTGCTCCTGCACATAGATACCCACAATCTATGGGGTAGGATCCACCCAAGGGTTCTAAAGGAGCTAGTGGAAGTGCTTGTCAGGCCACTGTCCATCATCTTTCAGTGGTCCTGGTCAACAGGGTAGGTCACAGCTGACTGGAGATTGGCCAGTGTGACGTCCATCTACAAGAAGGGTCAGATGAAGGATTCAGAGAACTACAGGCCTGTCAGCCTGACCTCTATCACGGAAAGTTATGGAGCAGATCATCTTGAGGGTGATCACATAGTGTGTGTATGACAACCAGGGGATCAGACCCAACCAACATGGATTCATGAAAGGCAGGTCCTCCTTGACCAACATGATGCCTGATCTCCTTCTGTGACCAGGTGACTCATCCAGTGAATGAGGGAAAGGCTCTGGATGTGGTCTACTTAGACTTCAGTAAGGCCTTTGACACAGTCTCCCACTGCCTTCTCCTGGAGAAGCTGGCAACTCATGGCTTAGACAAGTGGACTCTTTGCTGGGTGAAAAACTGGCTAGATGGCTGGGCCCAGACAGTGGTGGTGGACGGAGTTAAATCCAGCTGGCGACCAGTCATGAGCTGTGTTTCCCAGGGGCCAGTGTTGGGGCTGGTCTGCTTTAATATCTTTATCAATGACCTTGATAAGGGAATTGAGTGCACCCTCAGCATATTTACAGATGACACCAAACTGGGAGGAAGAGCTGATCTGCCTGAGRGTAGGAAGGCTCYACAGAGGGATCTGGACAGGCTGGATCCAGGGGCTGAGACCAACTGTATGAGGTTCAACAAGGYCAAGTGTCGGGTCCTGCACTTGGGTCACAACAACCCCACGCAGCACTGCAGGCTTGGGGCAGAGCAGCTGCAGAGCTGTGCAGCACAAAAGGATCTGGGGGTGCTGGTCAACATGAGCTGAACTTGAGCCAGCAGGGTGCCCAGGAGGCCCAGAAGGACAAGGGCTTCCTGGCTGGTATCAGGAACAGTGTAGCCAGCAGGAGCAGGGAAGTGGCCATCCTCCTGCACTTGGTGCTGGTGAGGCCTCACTTCAAATACTGAGTTCAGTTTTGGGCCCCTCATTACAAGGACGTGGAGGTGCTGGTGTGTGTCCAAAGAAGTTGGACAAAGCTGGTGAAGGGGCTGAAGCACAGACAGTATGAGGAGCGGCTGAGGGAGCTGGTTATTTAGTGTGGAGGAGACTCRGGGTGAAACTACAACTACCTGAAAGGAGGTTGTAGTGAGRCGGAGGTTGACCTCCAGAATAACTACAGACAGAACAWGAGGAAATGGCCTCAAGTTGTCCCAGGAAAGGTTCAGGTTAGATAGCAGGAAGAATTTCTACACGGAAAGAAGCTTCCAGGCTGCCCAAGGAAGTGGTGGAGTCACTGTCCCTGGCAGCATTCAAGAATCGTGTAGATGGAGCACCTAARGACATGGTTTAGCAGTCCTGGTGTTGAAGARTTTATGGTTAGACTTGATGATCCTAAAGGTCTTTTCCAAACATAATGATTCTATGATTCTATGATTTTCCAGAGGAAGCTGGGCAATCTGGGGGAGGAAGATTCTGCACTGGACTTTGGCAACAAGTTACTGGTTCTCTGCCCACRGACTGCAGCACTGTAAGAGATCCATAACTCCCAGCATGAAAAACAACTCAGGCAGCAAACACAACTACATTTCAAATGACTGGAAAAGCAGATAAGGATGGGAAGAGGCGAACACAGTAGTTACAGGAATGGGACAGATAAGGCAACATGAGGCATCCTTTCAAGCATGCCACTGTGAGGGTACAATTTCTTGATAATAAGGGAAAGTAAGTGGAAAAAAAGATTTGTGAAGGAGCTGTATGCCTAMTTGTCAAAATGAAGAGACTCAAAACTTCTACTGGAGCTGATGGGCATCGTTAATAGGAAATGACCTAAAAAGTGTGTGTACAAAATTGTGTATAATTTCAGCTAAAGAACTATATAAAATTGGTCAATGCTCATTAGTTAAATTTGGATATAGAGTGATTCTATTTGATCTGGCATTACAAGAGATAAGGGAAGCACTAATGGTCGATCTCCATAAAAATTGCTTCAGGCCAAACTTTCTTTTGTATCTTTTAGAATACATCTAAGCATCAAAGAAAATAGCCAAATCTGCTGAAAAAGCATTTTTTGTTGTTGTTGTTACAGTAAACTGTCTTAACCTTAGAAATATTCCATTAAAGTTACTACCTTGGTTGGCTCCCTATTTTAAAGGTTTTCCATTTTTATTTGTTCCTCCTCCTGTGCTTTATATCTCCTCTTTGGCTCTTCAAGGCTTTTCCATCATTATTTCTTTTCTTTAATCTCAGTTATAACGAGAGATTTAGCAGTCACCTGCACACATCTACATACAAATGCAGCTGTCCTGACTCTATATATCACCTATATATACACCATCTCTATATATCACATATATATACACCATGTTTATATAGGACAGAGATTCCTCAGTTCCCACAATGTGCAGGATGCTGCTGTGTTGCAACTTCTGCAAAACTGTGCAATTATATTGTTTTTTTTTCTAGCTTCTTTTTCTAGCTATTTTCTATTTACTTCAAGACGGAAATCATTTATACACTCCACTCTCTGCAAGTTCAGCTTCTTCACTAAACGAGAAGTTTTCCTACCATCAGACTCTCAATAGCATTACGAGAAAAGACAACTTTTTGCTCATTTCTTATGTGAGGATTTTATCCTCTTTTTGTCTACTGGGAACTCTGAATTCTGACCAACATCGGCCTGTGCAAACAGCTCAGTAAAGATTATGTAGTGAGGGGACATCTCAAGGGCTGGGAGGACCTTAAGCTGATTCAGAGTAGTGATGAGGGCTGTATAAGCTACAAAGAATACAAAGCAAGTCCATCATGAATGCTAGGGCAGATGCCCCAAGATTTCAGATTTCCTTTGTAGCTTGCTATGTGACTTGCTAATGGAAGAAAATAGAGTCACAGACTGGTTGAGGTTGGAATGGACCTTTAGAGATCATCTAGTCCAASCCCMCTGCTCCAGCAGGRRCMCCCAGAGCACAGGGCGGCATCCAGGTGGGTTTGGAAGACCTCCAGAAAAGGAGACTCCACAGCCTCCCTGGRCAGCCTGTGCCAGGGCTCTGGCACCCTCACAGGAAAGTTGTTCTTCCTCACCTGGAGATGGAACTGCCTGTGTTTTAATTTGTACCCACTACCCCTTGTTCTCTCACTGGCTATCACCAAGAAGAGTTTGGTCCTATCTTCTTTACATTCTCCCCTCAGGTATATTTGCACATGTTGAGTCCTTCATGCTGTCTTCCCTTCATATTTAGTACTGTTGCTTACCTTTCCAAGTATTTTGTGTGTACAAGGAAAAGCAGCATTACATTTAGAGTAGCAGCACACATACCATCTTCCCTTCACTTTATTACTTAAGGCAAAAAAGTAGCAGTACTTCCCCTTCTTCCCACCTTGATTTTGTTATTTTATCAAAACAATAAAAAAAGATCACACACAGAAACTGATATTTATTCATAACTTAGGCCAACATTGCCCAGGTTATCTTTATTGAATGCTGCACCACACACTTAAAATACAAAACTTTTTTTTTTTTCAGTAAAATTTCTTCTCTATGTCTGCCAGCAGTACTTAAATTATACTGACCCGTATTCAATAGTACCTTAAAAACAGTGGAATTAAAAAAGAGGATTTGCTGATTGTCAAAAAAAAAAAAAAGGAAAACATTAATAAAAAAAATCTTATGAAATCCACACACAAAAATAATCACAAAAAGTGAACTTTCTTCATTATGAATTGGTAAGACATTTGCTAATGTACTTTTTACAGCAATGTATTTAGATGAGCTTTCTACTGCCAACTGCAAACTTTAAAAATCATGATATTAAATGCTTGTGCAATTACCCAYGGCAGTTGAGAGGTAACTAACTAAAACAAGACCTGCTTACTAGATGTCTAAAAAAATGTTAATTATTCACAAAAAATGTTAACTATTGTTAGTAGAAAATGTCAAAAGTTATACCCTGTACTGGATGTATAAATAGATTAAAAAACATAATAAAGAATCACATAGCAGTCAAGAGACCTCTGTGCAGAGAACCCCATGTAAACAAAGATGATCCAAATAAAATTCTGTGGTATGGTATGAGTTGAATGCTAATCTTCAAGAAAAACAACTAAAAATTCACACCTTTCTGTATTTTTCAGCATATACCTTTTAAAATATTTTCTATCAGAGTTTACTAGGTTATCTCTATTAGCCCTATGCCTGGAAACGTGGCACGCTCTCCTCCAATTCCAATAACTTTCCAGGTTTTGTCTTCAGAAAACGAGACTGAAAAGCTTCYTCTTCATAAGCACAGCTCTTATGTGTTATAATGCACTTGATCTCCCCAAGGGTGGGAGCATAACAGTTCTCACCACAAGTGGGAAGTCCTGCTGCTGTCAACAGAACTAACAGACTTCTGGTTTTGAACTTCAAGCACCACGATACCAAGAGTATCATTTTTCAAATAAAACATGTCCCTGATTCTTTCCATTCTGCATTATATGAAAAGTCTCACAACACAGTGGAAAATAAAAATCCTYGTGTACACGGCTACAGAACATTTAGCCATCAGCCTTAGCATAAAATAATATTCTGATCTTTATACTCCTATTATTTCTCCACTGCTGTTTATTAACTTCACACAATTTGAATAAATCTTAATATAATGTCCTTATAATGTTGAGCAACATATTTAAGATGCAAACACTCAAGTATTAATAATAATGCTTATCAAAAACAAGATTAAATGCAAATTCATTTGAGAAAGCATACATAAATATACATGAAATGAATGAATGAAATGAATTTACATGAATACAATATTGAAATACAATTCACAGCTTAATGACTGCCAGAAAAATAGTTAGCAGAATTTAATTTCTAGCTCAAAAATTGAGCRAGCTACATGATCTCTGCAATGTTCATCACATTAATCACATCTTTTGCAATACATAAAGAATACCAAGGTTATCAACAGTCACATACACATTGAAGTTAGGGGATACATGTATTGACTTGAGGTTTGTTCCATTTGTGTAGAAGGTTTGTAAGGATTCTCCTGTAGTTACATTCCACCACTTAAAAAAAAAATAGTAAAAAAGTTATATATATGTATAAATATATTTTCCATTAGTTAAAGTAAGGTTAGAATGAATTAACAAAACAGGTCTAGCATGATAAGTCAACTGACTGCTTTCCCAAAAGGAGAAGAATTAAACTAGAAAAATACAAGCAATTTTAAAGACAGAAGGTTTAGAAAGGGTCAAATTGCTAGAGGTCCCAGTCTTTCAGATGAAAGGAAAACTGAATAGCCTCAGCCTTTTTGAATTCAAAACAAGCAAATTATYAAATACATCAGTAAGATTAAGTTCAGGCAACATCCCATATCCCTGTCAGGAACTATGACCAAAAGTGAACCGTAACGCATCTAAAATTTRAAAGATCGTGTATTTTTATATAACCCAATGAATACATGAAACTAACTGCCAGACAATATAACTGAGACTAAAAGGTTAGCTGGATTCACAAAAGGATAATAATTTTCACAGTTGAAAGAGCACAAACCTATTTTTTTTATTTTTTTTAAAGTGAGATTACATTCTTGTACTTTAAGACTAAAGCATATCTATCACTGTCACAAAAACAATGGGCTACATGAACCAAATGCAATCCAACACAGAGCTGTGACTTTGCTGTAGTCAATATCCCAAAAAGCAGCCTATCATCTATTTTTGCAATGTGCTTTGGGTGTCCCTGCTTGAGCAGGACATTTGGATTAGATGATCTCTAGGGCTCCCTTCCAACCTCAACCATTCTGTGATGCTGTGATTTGATGGCAGTAGCCAGACTTGACATAGATTAACTTAGTTAAATCACCTATAAAAGTATACAATATATTACTACTTTGTAGCTTACTCATCTCATGAAATATGTCCCATAACAGTTGTGTGCAGAATGCAATGTTGCAACTGCATGGCTACAGAACTGTGCTTAAAAACATCTTTCCCAAAGAGCCTGTTATTCAACAGGCTCAGAAAATCAGCATCTTAATCTGCTCTTGAACTGCTGTTGAAAGGAAAAATGATCAGCTATTCAGCCAGTGGATACCACTCACTCCACAAGCTTAACCATATGTAGCAGAATGCACCTCACTTATGAATAAGATAACTCATTTGTTTAAAGATTATTTTTCTTGCATCACTGAAACCCAACTCAAACTCAATTTTCAGAGAACCAGACTTCTGCAGTGTGTTGGACTATCACTAACTAGGATTTCCCCTGCAAAAGGGGGAGAGTGGGAGCAGCACATCATATATATCCACCTATGGGTCTAGAATGAGAAGTTGTAATAATTTAATTAAGCCCCAGTGACTACAAAAAGGTAAATGTCACACTCGTTTTCAAAACGGGCAAGGTAGATGCTGGAGATGACAGTCACCTTCACTACAGCTCCTAGTAACAGGATGGAGCAAAACTTCTGGAAGCCACTTGTGAATCATGGGAAGGACAAGGAGGGGACTGTGAACAACCAGAACAGATTTATCAAAGGCAAATCATGCTCAACAGCCTGACTGGCCCTCTGTGAGGAGAATGACAGCTCTGTAGATGAGGGGAGTGCTGTGAACGTGATTTACCTCAACTTCAGGCAGGCCCCAGTACACAAAACACACTGACAAACTGAAGCGGGACCAGCACAGAGCCAGTGAAGTGGGGGCCTGGAACATGTTGTAGAAGACAGCACAAGCACTGAGTTTGTTTAGCCTGAACAAGAAAAAGCTAGGGAGTCTCTAACTGCTGCCTTCATCTATCCCCCCCTCCAAAAAATAAAATAAAAAAAAAGTTGACAGATGAGTCAGGTTCTTCTTTCAGAGCCCAGAGAGGTCCCTGCTAGACACACTTAAAACTTGACTTGGCAAGGTCCTAGTCAACCTAATCTATCACTAGCCCAGCTTTGGAGCATGGAGATGGATTTCTTGATTTCAGAAGTTTCTAGCAGTCTAAAGCATTATTTGACTCTTTAAAGGCATCATATTTTGTAACCATGAGACAAAACTAGAAGGAAGGTTAGTTAACTTGAAAAAATTAATCTGATAGCGTGTCCAAGGGCTCAGTCATTGACTAGCAATCAATTAGTCTTGCAAGACAAAAGGGTCCACAATTGTCTCYGTAACTATCAGTACTGAGTGGATTTTAAAGTAGACAGAAAACAACTAATATTAAAATTAGCTTTATAGAAAATACAGAAAATTATCTTTTAATATTAAAGATGTCAGTGAAAGATTTTCCTACTAAAATCTGAAGCTGAACTGTATCTTGAGCTTAGTGAGAAACAGAACACACAGAATTCAAAAGCAAATTTCACCTTAATGGAATAGAATCTTAAGCCTTTTGAAGGCTTCTGAAAGTAAATTTTCAGGGGGCTTTCATATTTAAGAAAAAAACTAAAATTTGCAAGACAGATGAGAAAATGAGTCCTCTGCAGAGGAAAGCATTTCATATTTGTTTCTTTGAAGTGGCTCAATTTCCCTTTAAAATAATCCAAATATGGCCTTTTAATTATGCCCTTCAGTTACAACATTTTGTTATTTTTAAGGTTTACCTTAAGATAGCCTCCAGATGACACAAGAATCTTACTGTCAGGAGAAAACGAGAGGTCTGTCACCCAACCACTGTGGGTTGGTTCTCCTTCATCTACAGTAACTGGGGAGAAGTAGTGAAGTAATTCACCTGTTAAGGTATCCCAAATCTAAAAAAGAGAAGTTATATAAATAAGTAAACTTAACAGAAAGAAAAAATGAGAAAAAAACCCTAAATGTGTTTTTTCATATCAAAGAAAAAAAATCTTCAGAAATTATCAACCTCCCTGTAGTGACAAAATATTTCAGAAAAGGTACTCTTCTCTTACAACTCTGTCATATACAGAGGATTTAATCACACATGTGATTCATTGGAAAATTATGAGTAAATAATGTGATTCATAGTTCCTTAAAATTCATGGAACATAAACCCATCAATATGGTTACAAATTACTACTGGCCTATAATTGTGTGGCAAAGAATCAAGGGAAAAATACGTAGATTAGTGGCGACATTTCATTTCCTTTTCTTTACATTCATTATGTAAGGCATTTTCTTCTGCCCAAAATCTGGATTTAGAACATGTTAAGAAACTATAGTTTCTCMGCAGATAATCCGAAATCCTCCCCATCTTCCCAAAACAGGGAAAATGAGTTTCAAAAGCTATTTGAAGGTTTTGATTTCAAACATTTATTTTGCATAGTTCTTTTAGGTGTCTGAAGGACTTCCTTTCCAGTTCCACCATACTACTTTTCTGTTTTTAAAGCAGCTCTTGCTTTACTACATTTTCCAAATGTCCTTCAGGTCTGTAGTACATGTCTGTACTTCCCAGACCCAGCTACTTCGTGTTAATTCCCTCCCAATGCTATTCAATACCCTGCTAATGAATTAGATCTACAAAACACAAACTGATAGAACTCTTCAGTCTGTAGACTGAACGCTAATCTCTAATAGCTAACTGAACTCTTCAATTAGCCACTGAATTATGAAAAGAAGTGTAGGGTTAAAGCAGTACCATTATTTCTCCTTTGTCATCTCCAGTGGCCAGCAATTTGTTATCAGAAGAGAAAGTACAGCATCGTACGCAGGCTTCATGACCATTCAGCTCACGTAGAACAGATGAACTTTCAAAACTCCATATCTAAATAGAAACCCAGAAGAGTGAAAAAGATAACTGTTTTTTCAAGTGTCGGTTAAGTTTTCATCCACTCTTTCTAAGAGGGCATTAGCATTCAAGTGTACTTTGTACGTATATATAGCACATACAAGCCTCTGGGTGTGACTGTATGCTTGCATGCGTTTTATTGTAGCTTGTATGTTTTTTCCTTCTATTATCTGAATCACAAGAACACATTTGCAACAAATTACTGAATCAATCACAAATATTTTTGAGGGGAAAACATCTGCTGCAATTTTGACAGTGAGATGCAACCGATTCTGTTAGAAGAAAGTTCATTAAATGGTTCATAGAAAGAGGTTTCATGAATTAATTCATAATGACTTTTTAAACATGGTAACAACATATGCTCAGAGCATTACAATTTTCAATACTTTCAATCTGTTTATGAACAGGAAAATGCAAGAAATTAATAACAAGAAATGAGAAATAGATATTAGGAACTTTTTATTAGGAACTATAGGAACTTTCACTTTGAAAATTTCTAATTTTTTGTTTAACTTACATTTCCAAATTAGAGTACTAGGCTCTTAATAAAAATCAATACAAAGAATACACACAAAAAAGTTCTATATGGACCATTTGTGCATTAAATGTGCATTCTGTACATTTGTACAGAAGTAATCAGGATAGCCTGGTATATTCAAGACCAATTTTGACGATCTCTAAAAGCATTAAAAGATGCTAACAAAGACAGGAAATTTAGTATTAGAAGTATTTATAAGGTAACTAGTGACTAGATTAGAAGTATTTATAAGGTAACCAGTGACTAACCCAATTATTAGGATAATTATCCTAATAATTATTATCCTAATAATTATCCTAATAGTTGGGTTAGTCACTGGTTACCTTATAACAAAAACATATAGCACAATTTCAGGACAAAACATCACGTTTATCCTTGTATACAAGATAACCAACCTTTGCAGTTTTGTCAGCAGAAGCAGATGCAAACTTGCTACCATCAGGTGAAACAGCACAAGAAAGAACTGTATCTCTGTGGCATGTAAAATCTTTTTCTGCTTTTCCAGTTATTATATTCCACACCTAAAAAAAATATGGCTAAAGAGATTAACCTTTTTTACCTAACAGTAATCTTAATACCTGACAGTATTAAAAACGAAACAACTATCTTACATATAGAAGATATAGCTCAACTCGAAAGTCCAAGAAGATATAGCAAAATATATATTGCATTTGCATAGGTAAAATACAAAAATATGAAACTTAGAAACAATATAAAATGCAAATTTGAATTTTAAGAGGTTCTGCAGCTTAAACTTAAGGATTAATTCAAGCAAGTGATTCAACCAAGTAGTTGTTAACATAACGCGCAGGACCTACCAAATGATAAAAAAGAACTATTAAAATATATTTCTGATTTGTGAACACAAATCTTTTATTTACCTTAACAGTTCCATCAAATGACCAAGAAAGAAGTTTTGAATTTTCCAGAAGTCTAAAATCCTTGACTGCTTCTTTGTGCCCTCTTAGAAACATACGTTCGTTCAACTGCCATCTCCATACCTGTTTGGAAAGATGGACTACTTTAAAAAAGAAAAAAAAAATGTATGATTGATATAACTTAAGAATGAATTAACCGACTGATTTTAACCCATGTATAAAAATTCTACAGTAGATTGCAGCTCATTAAAAGGTGCTATAATCAGTGTGCATATCATAGCATTTAATAGCCAGTCTACAAAAGATTTTTTTAAATTCAGTCATCATTGCAAAGTATGAGAACTAAAACTCTTTTCTAGAATAAGCACAGAATCTGATTTCTAAAGTGAATGAAACATTTAAATCTCACTGGTAATTTCAGAAAGAAAAAAAGTTTTCTTAAAACTTCTGATTATTACAACAACTATCCTTATGCAGATTCCATATTTTCTATAACTAGTTCAGCCTTTAAATATTTAAAAATATATTTTAAGTGAAAGACCATTTTGATTAGTATTTTTATATTTTCAGTACCTCTTTACTGAAAATTCAAGTGTCTTTGTATTTAGAGAAGCTATTAGGCTGCAAGAAAAGAGATGATTTAACCCATTTCCAAAATAAGTTTTCTGTATCCAAGAAGAAACAGCAGAGGTGCTCACCCATAAAGATCTTCAAGGCTTAACTAAGGCAACACCCACTAGGCGGGGCTGAGTACCTACCCTAGATCTGAAGGAGGGATCCAAAAGCCAGTCAACAGGTGAGCTGTAACTACACTGCCCATTTGACCACAATGAACGCGCTCAAACCCACCCTATCTGCAAATCCCCACATGCGGTGGAAAGGCACAACAAAACCCCAGCACCAGAACTAGCTGCAGCACAGACTACGTGTACATTAGCAAGCAGGTGGTGCAGATTTGGTGAACAAAAAAGTGTGGAAGGAGACCATCCAGGACATGTTTTGGGAGACCAGCTTCTGGTTGGCTGTGTGGACCCTCCATGACAGACTCTCATGTAGGTAGGGATCTTGCCCACATGCTTCTGACTACTCAGTGGTACACACTATGGCACAAGTAAACATAAACAACAAGAACATCCTCTTCAAGAGCACATTCTTGATCCAAACTAGAATTAAAAGGCTAATATAGACACACCAGAATGTTTCCTGGCAACTGCCAAGAGGGGCAAAATGTGTTAATTTGATACTGCATTACTGAAGCCATTCTCCTTCTAGACAGAATCTATATTCAGTACTGTACTAGATGGACATATCAGCCTGCTCAGAGGCCTTTTTTTTCTTTTTTTTTTTTTTCTCCTTTCCCCCCACCCCTTACCATCCTTGCTTTCAGCAGTGCAAACCAGCCCAAGGACATGTTGTGGCAGATCCCAAAATCCTTCCCTTACAGTATCAGGAAAACTGCTGAGCTATCTTGTTTAAACACTAGTGTTTCTCTTCACCCACCTCAAAGTGTTGGTGGTTTTCTAGCATTCACTTAAATAGAAGTTTAAAAGCAGAAATTGTGTAAGATTCATTCATACCTAAGCACAAAGAAGCTCAGTTTTTACAGTGCCTTGGCTCCCATCTAGCACTCTTAACTTGCTGCTGCTTTGTTTTGCACATCCAAAGTTACTTCTGTCAGTTACTTCTCTCCCTTCACCCTATTTCCAAATTGTAGGGTTTTTAGATGTATTGGATAATATGCTCCTACCACTACCATAACAAATCTGAAAGAAAAAACATCCCTAAATCTTCACATAACACATTGATAACATTTATTTTTTCATTTAATTAAACTGGTATTTTAGAGTTTGCAATTCCTAAGTATCAGACTATGGATTAGAATTGCTTATGCATCACATATATTTCATTTATTATTCCATGGTGACAAATAAATGGCTTGCTAGAGTATCATTTGCAAGTTAAATCGCAGTCCGAGTACACACTGAAGTAGCAAGAGAATCAGAAATGCCAAGCTACACTACAAAATGTAAAGAGGTACCATTCAGAGTGTACATGAAGTTGGAAACAAACCAAAATAAAATACAGCAGTTACTTATCGAGCTTACACTACCCAGAGTACAAAAAAATGACTACATCACCATAAATTAAAATATAATAACTTTAAATCTCTCCCAAACCTGTATTACTGAATCATGAGCACTCGAAATGAGGGTCTGGCAGTCAGAGGTAAACCGGCAATGCTGCACAGGTGTCCGGTGGGCTTCTAAGGCTTTCAAGACTTTCCCATCTGACAACTGTAGTACCTGGACAATGAGGAATGCAACAATTCATTGTATATACTTCAGAAAACGGAAAAGAAGCACGTGCTGCTTCTTTTACGTAACAAAGATTTGTAAATCCATGATTCTTGGAAAAACAAGGACATTTTTATTAGCTTAGCCTTTGATAAAATGAAATGTGCTACATGACTAGCAGTACCTCTAGTTTACTGTCATTTGGACAACATGTAAAAACTTCTAAGCATTGTACTGAAAAATGTCATTGTAGAAAGTCATTCAAATACTTTTTTGTATTTTAATAGTAGCATCAAGAAATGTACCCTTTTTTTAGGTCAAAAGACTTAATACCTTTATTTTTCCATTCTCCTCTCCAAATGCGGCAAATTTAAGATCTTCACTTAAGCAACAGCAGCAAATAGGGCATTCCTGAGCTTCTGTCTGCATAATAATGCTGTCGTTATTCCCATTAATAAGCTGTAAAACAAGAATCAGATATGGGTAATATTTTGAAATTTAAACCTAAATACAACTGCCTTATAGAGACCAAACTGTTGAAAAGAATACTCTCTCACTCTTCCCATTCTGAGTGACCTAAATCAGTTAGTTCTGTAAATTAACGGTTTAGAGGTCAGTGTCATTATAATCTCTATAGAATGTGCTCTGAACAGGATGAGTTTGCAGAAGGAAGTGAGCAACAGAAGGCTTTAAAAAGATTATTTGAGCATAGAAAACATACTCAGCATCCCACTTCCAAATGGCAAACAAAATTCTAAAATCCATCAAGTTAGCTCCAAGCCCAGATTTATTCTATCCAATTTTACTGCTCATGACAAATGGGACATAAAATTCTTCAAGCGCCTCTTATAAGCACGCCTATAAACTCCTGAGCAGACACAATGCAGGTCTCAACCCACTAGCAAGGGAAGGCAGAGGGGCAAAAACATTAACAAAAACCTTTAAAACCTAATAATGATATACCAAAAAGTTTAAAAAGATACCAATTTGAAGCATTTAAAAGTGAACATGCTGCAATTGGCATCAAAAGGTGACTAGTACCCTGACCAAGACAGATCACAAATAACAAATGGCAAAAGAAAAAGAGATGCAATAAAAACTTCTTTTTAACAGATGCAATAAGAGATCAGATACAGCTTCTCTGACATATTCTTTGAAATGTACACATAAATTATAATGTCAACATTTACTTCTTTCTTTGGTTTCAGGCAGAAAATAATCCTTTTATTGCCAAAGCTCCACTGGCTATTCTGTAACTATTGCCACCTCACTCCACTACTCAAACAACAAAGTTCGGGCAACGGGACTTAAATTTTTTTTACAGACATTTTACAGGTACAGTAAGAAATGACTAACTTGTTGACAAAAAAAAAAAATGAGGAAGGACAGAAAATAGGAAGGGATAAACGGAAAACATACGTAAAACAAAGAAAAAGTTTCCAGCAAAGAAGGTCACATTTTATCAGCTGTCTAGGAAATACTAAGAATGCCTAAGCCAAGAAATATTGGCACTAGCCATGGTGATTAGTTAGGATTACATGGCTGACAGTAATCTCTGGCCAAACCAGGTGAAAGGATGTGACCCAACACAAGCAGATTATCTGCAGTGTCTCTCAGAGCAGGGCAACAGTATCTATTCCAGCACTCTCTTACTACACATTCTGCAGTGGGAGCTCCCTGGATCCAAGAAGCAAAGATTGATTCCTACTTGGTTGCTGCTTTGGGCTAAACACTTGAAACAGCTACCCACAGCCAAAAGTCCAGAAGTCTGATGCTGCCCATTTGATGGGCTGTTTAAATACATAACCAGTTTGCATAAACAATAACTGCTAGAGTCAAGTGCAAACACAAACTGAGCAAGGTTTATTGTCTTCACTTCAAAAAAAAAAAAAAAAATCAATTTATCAATTTGGCAATTATTTCATGTATTAGGGCTTAAAAATAACAACATGTATAAAAAAGTGTGTGCATTTGCTATCACGGAATTGAAAAATATATTTTGGATATTTGTGTATTTAGCGGTTTATGGGGAGGAGGAGAAGAAAGAGTAACAACACCATATCCACTATTAGTGTTTTTTCCCTAGGACATAAAAAGAAGCCCCCTGCTGTCTTATGGCTATGGGGAGACCCAAACTTGCACCTTTCTCTCCCCCTGTCTGAGATCATTCCTTTACACATATTATACAGTCTGACACATTCAGGGCACGTGCTGTGTAGCACTCGGCCTGTGTTTGCTGGACACATTTTGTTGGACACATCTGAGCACATTTACAGGGGCCACAGCATCCCCAGTCCTCAAGAAGAAACAGTTTTGCCCCTCCACAACCAGGGGCAATTCCTCTCAATTTCTTCACCACTGTGGAATACTCCCCTCAAAACGTCATTTTTGGTTTATTAAATTAGGCAGAGTCCTTAGCTATAGGCACAAAAGTGCTACTATCCATTGTCAGCTTGCTAGACATTCAACTGCTGTAAGTCATGAACAAGTTCTTGCAGTCTTGTCCCTGTTTCAATACTTCCAACCATTGTTATTTGCAGATGCATGCAAATCCTTTATTAAATTGAGAAATTTAACTTACTTGTAAATGCTGCTGATTGTAAATTGCTAAAATCACCACTTTATCATTGTGGAATACAACATCAAGTTCACTTTTCAGCACAGCATGAGAAGACTTGCACACCTTGTTTGTTTCCCAAATCTGTTGAAAAAGGAAAAAAAATCAAACCAAGAAAACCCAGTATTTCGTCAAGTTTTAACAAAATACCAGATATAAAACTTACTGAATAAGAATACATAGGTACTATCCTAAACATTCACAAGTAAATATATACAAAGAAAGTAGTATTATCTCTGATGTCTTACAAAACAGATTTTCAAAAAAAAAAAATTGGTAATTCCTTATTTAGATGACCTCTAGATCAGAACAGACTCTCAAGCAGACATCACACTTAAAACTACAGCGATATACTCTAAAAAATGAGCTGGCATCTTTCGAAATTAAAATCCAAGTCTAAGAGGTCTCTTCCCATACAAAATTAGTTAATACAAATGGATCTGTACACACCAAAATACACATATACACACACACATACAATTTTAAAAGAAAAGAAAATATTAAAAGAGAAATGTCATCTTACTCGTATCGTCTGGTCATCAGAGGATGTGACAAATAAAGATCCATCTGGAGAAAATGTCACACAATGAACCCAGCTCATATGTCCCCTGCAATCTGCTACTTTTGATAATGATTTAATATTCCATAACTGAAACAAAAAATATGAAAGATATAGATTATACTTGTAGGGAAAAGAGTCCAAACCCCAGAAGGCAGCTACCTGGCTACTATTTCCTCTAGTGTTTTCTTATTTGTCATCCTGAAATCAGACATATAACAACTCATCTTCTGCTCCTCCTATTTATTATGTTTTTTGGCCAAGGGGGAAAAAAATAAATAAATAAAGGAAATCACATTTTTACCTGATAACAGCATCTAAAAGAAGGAGGTTGGACTGGGAACAAAAAAAAAAAAAAAAAAAAAAAAAAAAAATTGTGGTATAAAAATAAAAGTTCAACTGACTGAGCAGGCTTCAGAGAATAAGACACAGGCCTTAGGACTCACATCTCTAGATTAAGGTCTTCCAGCTGCTGTTTTCTGCTTTGGTGAATTGACCCCTCCTCTACTGTACAGCGGCTATGCAGGACAAGAGGGGATTTGTTTCCCCACCACTCCCTCCTTTTTTCTGAGTTACGAAATAGGAAGGCCTCTATTCCAAGGATGCGTGTCACAACTTTAAGCAAACTTTGAAAAGCAGCCTAGTCTTTTATGTAAACCTGAATTCTGTCATTCAATTAATATTTCATATTTTTGAAGTGGACAAAAGAGTGAAACACATTAAATTAAAATCCTGTCAAAACAACTACATTTTTTTTTATATCAGCAAAAAAGCACCTCTTAAAACAAGCATAGCCTGCTTTAAATTGCAACTAGCCTTGCCTGGTTAAGGCAAGTCCTGCTTGCCTTAGCAAAGACAATCACTTACCTCAACAGAACAGTGAGATAAAGCAACTGCTACTAACTCATCACCAGGGCAGAAGTCACAATATTGGATCATACTGTGATGACTTACAGTGACTTGCTTTAATAAATCACTCGTTTTAACATCAAAGAGCTGTGAACACGTAATTATAATAGTTAGTACCCAATCTGAAGGGCTTTACTACAGACAAATAGCCTAAATCTCCCAAAGCATGCATTTTCTTAATTTAGAAGCTATTAACAAGTTCATTGTTCGTGTGTTTTTACTTCAAGAACACCTACAACCATGGATCTGAAACTTCATAATAGCCTAGAATATGATCTTCATTCATAATTTTTACTTGGATAACAATATGCTATCCCTAGAAAGTCATTATTTTGAGGTACTTACCAGAAGCTTATTTTTGGCTACCACCAGAATCATGGCACTATTTTGTGACCAGGAGCAACACTTAACTAAGATCTCCACATCATCTGGTTGCTCATCTGCAGTTTTGAAGAAATCTTTTATCTCAATGGTTTTCAGTTCATTTGCGGAGCGTACTTCCCAAAGCTTCAAGAAAATAAATAAAGAAATAAAACTAAAGCAGCATATCAAACTCCTTTTTACTGGTATGGATATGGAATATGATGGGGGAGGGTTATCTCCCAACCACTTCTAGGGAAGCTGGATGGGAAAAAGAAATACTGGCAGGAAAGTCTCACTACTTTCCTGTTGCCCAAGTCAAGAAATAGTATTAAATATTCACAGGTTTAGAAGGTTAATATTAAACATTCACAAACTTAGAAGTCTTAGATAAAAAGTTAAGATTAATTACTCTATGGTGGAACCATATGTATGTGTTTACATAATACAGTTCTGTCTCATCTTCTACTTCAAAATAAAATAAATAGTAAAATACAAGTTATCTGCTCTGCCACCCTATTAAGTCTAGTCATAAAGAGAAATCTGGTAAATGTTTGGCTTTGTACCCTAATCTTATTAAGATAACGGAAAAAAATATCTCTGATTATTTCCATTCCCTGCATCTCATTTTTCTTTCTTAGAGACAACAGCTACAGTAGCCTTTTATTCTTGATTTAGCAACTCAATAGAAAGCTAGGAGTGCTTTAGTAGAGTTCCACTGCAAACAATTATTGCAGCTATTGAAATGAAAATAATGTTTGCATACTGAGCAAAAGATAACACGCACCCTCAATGCTCTTACAGCCTGTACCTTAAGGGAATTTATTTTAAAAAAAGTGTACTTACTAATGAATCACCCTTCAGAGATGACAAAATTTTCAGTTAATGTAAAAAAAAAAAAAAACAAAAAACACCTGTTAGACGCTGATAACTCCTACATGTTTCAAAAGAAAAAGCCTCCCTCTATTCTCTTACCAAAGAACACAAAAAAGGAGATGGTGAAAAGTAAAAAGACTGGAAATGAGGATCTGATTTCTTTTTATTAAAATTTCCATTTCAAAGTCTCTTGTCTCAATTGTTTTACTGTGATATTTCGAGATTTAATTCACTATGGCAGATAAACAAATGCAAAATATACTTAAGAATGCTTTGTATTTTATATAAGCTAATTAAAAAAATCATGAAGACAAGAAGTTTTATTTTTACTGCATACCTTTACTGTTCCATCGGTTGAGCAGCTAGCAACATATTCATCATTTGGTGAAAATTTACAATGATTGACAGCATTGACATGACCAAACATTGTATTTCTACAATATTTTCTGTTCAAATCCCAAAGCTGTATGAAAAATAAACATATCATTATATCAACATATCATAAATATCATATGAATTCCTCAAAAAACAAATTTTCACATTCTTCTCGAAATCACGCACTGGCACCCACACCTAAGAGGTTTGGGCCACACGCTCACAGACTTCACGCCACACATCAGGCTCCCCTATAACTTACTTCCACGTGCTAACTTTCATGAAAACTATGAAGAGCACAACTAAGCTAGTTAAGATTTCTGTGCACCTTCCTTAGTGATTAGAAGGCCCCTGAACAGCACAAAGTCTCTTGCCCTTTTCCCTTTCATTTTTGTAACTAAGAATTATGTAGCTTACGCTTGACACTTGAACTGAAATCTGTGAAGTTAGTGTTAGACCTCTGAACATCACACAAAGTGAACAGAGCACCCCTTGCAACCCCCTGCCTTTCCAACCCTATCCTCATACAACCCCTTTTCTCAGTTTTCAAATTTCCTTGCTTTCTCCAGCATGAAAATAATTTACAGGTTTTGACTGTTTAGCTGAGAACTCAAAGAAAGAAAATTTGCTTTTATGTTTTAAGTGGAATGCATAATTCTGTTCTTATTAGTCATGAACATATCAAACACTGTCTAATCTCTTAACCACAGCTCCCTTCTAAATTTACCTATTCTGAGGCGTTGGTCTCAAACAGCAACTGCATCTGCTGGAATTTGCAGGAATCAGCACAAACCAAGTCTCTGCTTTCCCACTTGACATCAGCTCCTATTACAACTCCAGCTTACACAAACACAGACTCTAGCCAGAATTCCTCAGCTGAGATTCCCTGCTATAGCTGAGCCACAGACAGATCTTCCCCAGCACCAAGCCTGCTCCTCGCTGTGTATTCCCAGCAGTTCTCTTGCACTGGAACAAGGCAATGAGACAGCATGGGGAACTAAATAAAGTTCCCACCCAAAGGATTTTTTTTTCCTTTTTTGACAGATTAGCCCCTTGCTGTATCACTGCAAGGATAAGATCAGGAGATGCACTGCTACAGAGGCAGGGATGTACAACCAGGGCAGCAGAACCACCATTGTCAGAGCCAATTAACTACTCATATGCTTTGCTGTACTGCGAGATTGCACCCCCCTTTAGCACAGTCTCATTTAATTATTCTTTTATCTCTTCCCTCAGACGGGGACTACAGTTGGCCATTTTCTGTTCCTTCAAGGTAAAGTTGCCTCCTCGCAATCTGAACAGTGACAGACTGTTAACCTGGTACAGCTCTTGCCTTGACTACTGCTTTTTGTCGGCTTTCACCTTCTCCCTGTTATTCCCAAACAACTTAATCAAAAAACCTGGCTGCTTGTCACTGCTATAATATAAGGGGGGTTTCAGCAACCATTTGCTTACATTATGAATGTTTGCAATCCTAAATTTCTGCCTTAATTTTTCTTGCACTGCTTTGAATCATATTTCCATTTCCATATTCTACTATTCCTATCCCACTCTCTAAAAGTCTTCTCAACGTCTCAGCTTCATGCTCTTCCAAGAGCTCTGGATCATTCTCTTTTGCTAGGTATAGCCACTGCTTCCATTCTGCCTTGTTGAAATCTGTTGACAGAGTTGCATCCAATACTCATGATCTTTCACACCTCTAGCAGAGAAGCTTAAAAAGCTTATCTTACAAGTGTTAAAAATACACTGTGCATCAATCAATATTTCTCCTGTTATTAGAAGCAGTAGGAGAATCATCTCATCTCTTTTCACTTACTTTGATGAAAGTGTCATTTGAGCACGTGGATAAAAGATACTGACCACTTCTATTATTAAATTGGCAGCAATTGACCTGTTCTGTGTGTTCTTCATATACACGCATACATTGACCTGTTCTTGAATTCCAGATCTAGATGGAATTGAAGGATGAAAAAAATATATATGTTTCATGTACTTTATTAAAAAGACCTTTAAGCTATGTTGTAATAAATACTTTTAATCACATCTCACTTTTTTTTTTTTTTGAAAAGAACGGAAAAATATGTATATTTAGCTTTATATTTTGAAATTTCTTGGAAGTTAAAAATAGCCTATTCTTGTCAACACTCCATGTTAAATTATTGTTAATTTCACAGATCTTCACAGCAGAATGTTTGAACAATGGAAAAGAGAGGAGAGGAAAGGTTTTACTTCTGATGACAATTTGAGAAAGGCTACAGTTTCATTAAGATATTGCTTTAATATTGAGAAATTATGAATTACCAAAGAAAACCCAACATCAAAAAAAGGAAAAAAAGAAGATAAATTCAGAGTGTGTTATAAACACAACACAGAACTGCATGAATTCAGTCGTGTTGAGCATTTTTTGCCTATGTTAACATCACACTTATAGAATTACCACCTATAGTGCATGAATTATCATTAAAGAGTGAATTATCCATCTAAGTTTTAGCAGAATTAAACCAAAACCAAACACACACAAACTAAAGAACTGGCTCGGCCCAAGTGTGTTAAAATTCAAGTCATAATTATTACTCCGAAAATAGCCTGCACTTCATTTACTTACCTTCACTTTTTTATCAGCTGAACAAGTTGCTACAAAGGCACCATCCGCAGAGAACGCGCAACAAAATATTTCATCATCATGTGCCCTTATCTCCAGAAGTCTCTCTCCACTTTTTGCCTTGAACACCTACAGAAACAACACAAGAATAGTGACATCTTGCAACTTAATACAGTTCTAAAACATGCAACATGAAAATAAATTTTTTCTTTCAAACAGCTCTCTTACTTATAGATTTTCTATAAAAATGTGGTTTTACATTTATATAGAAAACATTTATAATCTCATGAAAAGTAACCTCAAAATTTAAAAAGAAAAGTTTCAATTTTGTAAAGTTAACAAATTCTTAGGGAAATGAATTGTTGAAAATAGATTTTGCTAGTAGATAGCGCGTTGGGCAGTATCTGTTAGCTTAAAAGACACTGACAAAGGGCATGGATTTAGGTCTAAAGAATCAGAGTAGAAGAATACTCTGCACGCCAACGTCTTTTTAAAAATCAAAGCTATTTTTAAAACTACTAAGTCCAAATTAAAAATAAACTTTTTTTTTCACTCATCATAAAACTTAGAACTGAAACTTAGCAGTACATGCTGATTTGGGAACAAACATTAAGAGAGATGTAATCAAAAGCCTTACGCAGACAAAACGATACATTCCTGAACTAGCTTAGCAGGAAACGGACATTTGGGTGGAAAAAAAATTTATACTAATCAATGCACCAGCTCTGGGAATTAAGTACTCAACAATGAAGAATTCAGGTCTTGCATTCCTTCTTGAGGTTACTCATTCTTAAATTATTCAAACAATCAAAAGGAAATCCTAATCCTAATCCTACCTTCTTTTCTTTATTCTTCATTAAAGAAGAATATTAATGACAATGAAATGGTTGACACTTGTTTAGATCATGTAGGTTTTGAAGCAACAGGAAATCTGCAGGATGTCTGCTCTTAATCTAACAATCACAATTTTCGGCTTCACAGAAACACCAGAACAGCCACAGGAACTGAAAAAGCCCTAGTTTTATTTCCATGCCACTATCATGAATAATTAAGCTCAAAGTTAAACAATGAATATATGATTATGGTTATTTTTCCCTTTACTGTAATTTTTAACTTCTTCAGTAAATGTTTAGTTTAAACACAAACACCATCTACAGACTCTGATTAGGTAGAAAACAAAGGGAAAAATAAGCAATCTCCAGTCTTAATAAGGCCATCAAGTACAAAAGCCCAGCACAATAATTTCAGCCCAGGATAAAACTAGCACATCCACCAGGCATATCTTGAATTGGATGTCATGATTAGAGCACTGTACAAGCCAGCAAATAAGTAAATAAAGTACAATAACGACACATGAACCAGCCAAATGAACAACAACTAAGCACCACTGGTAGTTTAATATTAGTATTCCACTTGCCAAGCATCTAAAAGCAATACCAAAGACTTGCAGTAAGGTTGCTCTTCACCCTTACCTTTGGCTGTCTGGGATATGGCTATGGGACCAGGTTACTGGCTGGCTGATTGCTAGTTTCCTTGAGAGCAGGCTGGCTCCCCTCCAGGCAGACTGCTGGCAAGTGGGCATTAGTGACTCCTCTCTGTCTCCCCTTATCTGCTTTCTCAGCATTTTGTGCCTGCTCTCAGCCTAATACGCCCTGCACTTCACAGACTTATCTTTCTTCCCAGACTCTTTTCTTTTGCATTAGATATTTCGCCCATCTCATGGGAGCAGCGCATCTCACACGTAAACCAAAAGTGCGTAACATTTCTCAGTTCTGCAGAAAATCTGTGAGGTCCAGTATTGTTTTTGCAAGTGAGCATGAAATATGTCAGGGTCTGTTTCTTAGACAATGAGCTTCTCCATATCATTACAAAGGATTTCAACTCATTTATGTACTATGGCAGTTAACATATAAACCATGAAATCACTATAGTTTAGTCTCTGTACAAGCAGGATGCTTGTTTTTCCAAATGTGCAACTGAATGCTTACATAATAATAAACCTGTTGCTTTTGTTCAGAAGAAGAAAGGAAAATGCGTTATTAATAATTTTTAATCAAATAACATGGTCTTTCATTTCCCTCTTGAAAAGATTTTTACCTGTAGTGTTTTATCAGCTCCACATGATGCTATTCTCTGTCTATCCTGAGAAAAGCAGGCATGGTATACTGCATCTCTGTGTGGACGAACTACCAGGCGGGAGAGGTTCTTCATGGACTTCTTATTTCTGAGGATAAAATAGCCAATAAGTCAAATCCTCTTAAAACACAAGACAAAACGAGCACTCACTTTTTCGCACATCTTAAGCAGCAGGCTTAAACAAACAAAGCAACTCTCTGCCTTCATGGAGAAATAATACATGAAAAAAATCTTGTGTTCATTCTTACATTTCCCCTTCGATAACTAAAGTGTAGGTATCAAGGAATGTAACGGCAGAATAAACAAACACCTACTTTATATGTGGATTGTTGCACCCTTCCCAGGACACAAGCTTCCCAACAACTTTTTTAGGATCTGCTCTGTGCTGCTTCCAAATACATATTTCTTTCCAAAACTTCCTGTTCCCCTGCAGATTCCCCTTCCCTTTGTCAAAAACATCGGTGTATCTCTGATCAAATTTACTTGACTTTATAGCAACGACTCACTTCCCATTGCTAGGTATTTAAACAAAAGCTATGTTTATCAGTGCACTTCAACCGGATATTGAGTACAGAACCTAACATACTTTGGTTGACTCTAGCCAACTTCAACAAAGAATTTAATAGCAACTGTAACAGTCCTGGTTAGTCAGATGTTACCACAGAAAGCTGTCATTGTAATAAAATCACTTTTGGTAATGAATGTATTGTTGCAAGTTCCATTTTCTTCTAAAGGTGAAATGAATCCAAGTAGTTTACATTTTCATCATCCCAATTTTCAGACTTAGCATTTACTAGCAGGTAAAACATCTTGAACAAAGTAGCTACCTTTAAAATCAAAACAGCTTTTTTCCACTGCAAAAAACTGACTGATCAAAAACAAAACAGAAAAGAAGACATATTTTAAAAAGCTAAGATTGCTGACCAAGTAATTTTACTATCCAAGAGAGCAAATTATTCACCTACCTCCCCTATAAAGCATTTTTTAGGACTTAAACCTAGGATAGGAGACAAATATATCCCAGTTTCTGCTCTGTTTCTGCAAAATTATTTAATTTCCTTCCCCCTTGAAGAACATAGCAGACCTTAAAAATGGCCTTAGCTGTACATGGTGTTTAACTGCCAACTAAATGTCCTTCCTGAATCAAGGGATCAGCAGATGGATTGCATTACTTACATCCACTCCAAATAAAATATGCCTGCTTCTTGTTGAGCAAGTGACTTGGCTTGCTGATAGACCTCTGATGTCTCCAGTTGGCAAAGACCCAGCTGTATTATGTCAGGAAATGGCTGTCGTCCAAGAAGGTGCCCATTTAAAGACAGAAATTCCTGGAAGTTCTCACGTACTATGCTATTCTGTGTCCAGAACAGATAATTTTTAGCAATTGAAAAAGAGATTTTTTTTTATCCTAGTGCCTTTTCTTTTTTTTTAATTTCTGTAGAACTAACTTCCTTATAGAAGCACAGTTTCTGTTCTGTTAGCAAGTATATGCGATAGACTGAAATGTTTCTTTATCCTGTACAGAAAACCGTATTATTCTTATTTTTTCAAATAAACTGTATTGACAACATTACTCGATGAGCAGTTAACATCAAATATCAGGAGGACTATTTCAAGGGGCAAACAAATTTCTATATCAGCCCAGAAAGCGAATACTGTATGAGCCCCTTTAAATACTGATGTTATTCATAGTTACTGAGATTCATGGTTAATTACTTGGGCATACACAGAAGTTAAAACTGAAACTGAGTCTGAAAAGGATTTTTTTTTAATTTCTTAATTCTTTTTCTTCAAATTGAAGTCTCACTTAATACTGCCTGTAGCTTTCTATGCATCTATATTCTCTCTCTATATAAATACATGTATATTTCTTAAGAAAACAGACAACAAAAATACAATTAAAGATAGTAAAAAATATGTGAAACAGACTGATCATTTACCTTTTAGTATCATACCTTTTGATCAAGGACTGAACTATATTCTACATATTCGTGAATCAGATGGGCAGGGCCTACCAACTCTGTTTTAGCTTTAATCCAATCCAGAGAAAACATAAGATCACAGAGTTCCTGCAAGAAATACAAAATTCAGTTCAAAGCACAAGTTCCATGACAGAATCTACCTCACAAGAAAGAAAAGTATAGGAAATACATTAGAAAGTGAATATGCTTCAGTTCAAGTGCCTCCATTTAAAAACTCAAGCAAAATCATCTTGCTTTCTGCACCTTACATGATTTGTATACGGAAGGCTACGTTTACTAATTTCACATGAAGGATTGATGCTTGGTAAAAATATCTGGAGAAGGGGAGGGAAAAGCATGCAATTTTTCAATTCTGTAGCACACAAAACTCAATTTAGGATACAATTCAGCAAGAGTTTTCAGTATGGTCTAGCAAAGATCACTCTGCCAAAACTGCTAGCATTTTTAAATAGAATAACAGGGTGTTAGATGGCTCTTCAAAGACGTTGTAGAGAGGATGAACTCTTACACGCAAATGAAAACGACTGAATGGGAAAATCCAATTAAAAAGTAATTATATTCACCACTATATTAGAATTCTCTGAAGAAATCAGACACTAGATTATCTTTATTACTATGCACTATCTGCTTTCAGAAGACTTCTTACTAAAGCTTCCTCAGCAGAGAAAGAAACACAAGCTACTATGCTTGTGATAGATCTTACAAACTGATTAAAAAGGGCAAGAGACAAAAGGGCAGAAATAATGTTGTTCTTATAATACATAATTATCATTACCAGGGCCCCAACAGACTGTGTGTTGAATGCTAGTGTATTTGTGTGAAAGCCTGGCAGAAGGCTGATCTGGAGAGAGGGCAAGAGAAGGCACATTGAGGACACCAGTCAGAACTCACCTTCTGCATATTGGCACCTGCCATATGATATGCTAGGAAGTTATACCAGTACATGCAATCCTCTTCAGATGGAATGGGCATATTAAGTTTGTAATATTTTTTGTACTGATTTACTATGTTTTTATGTAGATCCTGCAACATGAATCGAAACATACGTTCAATTATTGGACTTATTTTTGTTACTCCTATTTTTCAGTTGTAAAATGTCAACAAATGAAATAAGCAATAACTTGAATTAAATACACAATTTTAAAGGCAAGATTTTTCTCCAGAAACATTCTCCAGATACTAAACAGAGAAAAGCAGGCTTTTAACTTTCATTCTTACATCAAGAGGAGCTATGTAATCACTCTTGTATGCTACCTACGTTTAATGTGAAAAAAAAAAAAACATTACATATGTAGATATAGGAAGATCTCAGAACTTTCCTGTCCTCAAAATATGATATTCTATTGGACCCAACATACAGAGCCTCTTCTTGAAAGTCTTGCCCTAAATTGGAGATGTGGTGGGGAGAGAGAGCACTTCTGGTTTTAAATAAGTTTCCTTTTCTTGTTTGTTCTTGATGCCTTTTGGAATCACCGATGGAACATTCCATCTTCACTCTAAGTATCTTTGACAGAGAAACAATGTCTATAGAGTCTTCTGTCTAATTAGTTTCTCAACTGCACATGGATCCATCATGAAATCACTCCACACTCTAAAGTTGAAAATAACCCACCTTTAATAACTCCACAGTACGTTCAACTGCATTCTGGATGTATATTATGGAATTCCTTTGGATTATGATTTAACAAAGTTACTTTTTTTCTGAAAGTTGTCCAGTTTTAGAGAGTAAAGTTGAAAATAGGTAGATTAACCAATACTCTACCTGAAGCTGATTGCGATTCTTCTCTGTAAGAAAGTCAAGTTGAAGATCATGTAAATAATAATGGAATGACTTCCCATTACGATCACAGAATAACAGTGATTTGTTAACAAATTCCTGCAAGATATCTTCAACTTCTTCAGTTTCCATATCCCAAAGAATACAGAGAACCTAAAATAACATTCAATAAGATAAAGAGGATAGCAAAACTAAGATGCAATATGGCTTATAAGAATATCATTAAAAGGCTACTTATTAATTCACAAGAAAACGTAAGCATACAACATTTTACAAATGGTAACGAAATTCAACAGATTTACAACTTTATACAAAAATATATGACAAAAGGGTTGCCAGTCATGGCAGGCTTGTAATACGGAAGTACACCAACGTCTGGCATTTCCCAGCAGTAAATACTAGCACCTAAAGCAAACACTTATTGGAAAATCTGAGAAATAGGAGCAGGAAGTCACATGGCAGAAAGACTAGGCAACAAGATGTCAGGGAACTCAGCAGGCATGGAAAAGAAGGGCAGCAACGATAATGACATATTCTTTGAGATTAAATAGGAAAAAAAGAGTTTGTGTTAGAGTAAATAAAAGCAAGTCTGATTAGAACAGTGAAAGAACCATCAGACTTTAAGCTGCAGTAGCAGATACTTTCCAACACTGCAGACCTTTCTCTAGTAACCCCAGGGCCACTACAAAGATATTGGGAAAGAATTTTTTTTTTGTCTTAACTAGCAAAAGCTTTTCTCAAAGCATTGAGAAAGTACAATTACTTTAGCAGAATGTTTCACAGCCCTATATGTTTAAAAGCTATTTTTATTTCACTTCAATTTCCAGACAACATTCTAGGTAGAATAAGGTTGTCAAAAAGGCAGATGTATAGTCTGCAAACATGATCCTGGCTCTTACTTAGTGGCCCTTAAAGGAGGGGAGAAAACTTAAAACATCCTTTGACTGAATTTCCTCCTAAATCTTCCATCCTCCTAAAGTAATACTTCAGAAGTAAGCAGAATTCTACAGCTGAGTTAATGACTATTAAACAGAAGACTAAACTTTCCAAATTGTTTAGTAAATGCCCAATATATGAGAGAGACTGGCAAAAACAAACCAAACCGCAGACCTCTGCAATACTGAAATCCTGGGCTGTCATTTACAAATTTTATCTCCATTTATCTATATGTGTTAGTTTATGGTGACCATATCTTTTTCCCAAAGAAGTCGTATTTTACACAGCAGCTTTTATAGCCTTCAGAGAGCTCAGTAACAACCCAATTAAGAAGTATATTGAGATGCACATTATGTTATGAACACATTCACTCAGTTACAACTTTTTAGTTCCATCACTGACAATAGAAGTCATGATACAGTAATGGGTCCACGCTACTAGATACTTTTAAGCCAATGATTAAACAACAATTCCAAATTCTATGACTTCTTTAGCATGATTGCATGCATCTCATTAAGAACTATTGAGATTTTTGCACTGCTATTACTACCTTTGTAGGAACTTTAACATCTTTTGGGAGGATGGAAAGGTCCTTATAATAGCCCTTAATGTTTTCATTCAGTTGTTCAACACTTATGGACATTGCTTCATCAAGAGCTTCATAGTCATATGATGAAGATTTTCTTATTCTTTTGAATTGCTTATTCTGCAGCTGCTTGAGGTAGTATTCCCAACGACCAGGGAAGTCTCGTAATAAAGCACCTATCAAGGATATCACAAGAGGAGAACCTGAAGGAAGAGGTTAAATTAATGTTAGAGGTCTTGAAGGAATAAAGTCTCACAATGTAAATAGAACAGTCTGAATTAAAAATGGTCATTGGGCTGATTCACTGACGAAATTCTTGAGATGCTGGAGAACAGCCAGGGAAAAGAATCCATACAGATATTTGTACATCTTTATATATATAAAAAAGAATAAATTAAAAGACAAACCTGGTTAGTTTAGAAGAAAACTAATCCAAAAGCAACATGAGACATTTATACTTATCTCACAGAATAAAAAGAACATCCAACAAATACTTATCTTGTATTTAGACAGTACAACACTGCAAAATATTCCCTCAATAAGCTGAAACTGAAAAGCAAAAAAATAAAAAGCATTAAACACTACGTGGTACAATAAAAAGTGTAAGCATCATACCTTTGCATTCCCTTACAATGCAATCAGCTTGTTCCGGCAGTTCTGTTATTTTCTTATTCACAAACAGGGACAAAACCTCCAGCCCTTTCTCATGTGCTAATCCACTTTCCACATGTATCTCATATTTATTGCCTAGACATAAAAATATTAAAGCAATGAAAAGGATTCGAAGAACTCCTATGGAAAATGAAAATATCTTCAGAGTAAAATCTGGAGCAAAGATCCTGGTTCATGATTTTTTGCATAATATGCTGAGTATTAATTATAGTATAAATTCTATCTGACACAACCTTATAATTACAGCTGCATTAGGGATGTTGCACGCACATTGTAGCAGTGAACACTTCACAGTGTAAAAACAATGAGTCTAATTGCAGTGTCAGTTGAATGTGTCCTATTGAGAAACACTACAGTCTTCAAAGCAGATAGAGAATGTCTAGGGTAAACACATGTATTGCACTGAAGAGCATGAAGTCTTACAGAGCAGAATTCCACAACTCTGCCACCGGAGCACAAGTTTCCATCAGACTCTTTAAGCAGTTTACATCAACAATTTACACACATGCACACCTAACCTGTAGTGCAAAAGTTGTCGCTCCTTACCAGCCACTGCATCTGTTACACTCCTGTCCCTGCTGGTGATCAGAATCTGACACTGATTATCAAATGCTTTTAACACCCAGGAATCCCAAATATCATCCAGGACCAAGAGAGGCCTACTGTAAGAAGAAATATTGAAGATTTCAGATGAACTATTAGTGCTAAAATACTGTATTTTATTGTAATGATTAAATAACATTCTTCAGTATTGCAATGTATAACCTAAAATATTTTACATATAAAAATAATAATAAAAAAACTAAAAAGAAGCTTAAGATTTAAACATTGCAAGAATGCTCAATGCAAGCTCCAAAAACGCTACCTACAAAGAAGAAATTTCTATAGCTGCAACTTAGATTCTCTCAAATACCTAGTAGTTCCAAACTGTTTAACTTTATTTGCTCCTCTGAATTTATTCAGCATAAACATTAACACAAACAATAAAGCATCTCATCAGATAAGTGACTTTGTGCACTAGAAGCAATATGGCATAATGTAGCAAACAAAGAGTATCATGCTACTTGGGTACACTGCCGTCAAATTCTGGAATAACTCACGTCGTAGAGATATATCCTACAACAAAATAACCTACAATTATTCTACTTCTTTTTCTACGCAGAAGGGACTAATGTTAAGCATGATTTAAACACCTTGATTCTTCTTTATCTTCATTTTTGTTTATTTTAAAGAAGAAAAAAAAATCAAGAACTGCATCAATGGAGGCAATTCCTGAATACGTATAAACGTCAGGAGAACCTGCACCTTCATTTGAAAGTGTTTTGTTTGTATGTTTCAAATGACTTCATGAGAAAATAAAATGTTTTTTTCCTACTGCTTTGTATAAAGGACACAAGATAAACCTTACAAAGATTTCTTGTGAAAGACCTTGCAATGTTCTTCAAGTCTTCTCATAACAAGATTTTTTTGTTCGTATTCTCTACAAAAGAAAAAGGCCAATACTTCTCGACTCAAGGTCATCTATAGAAAACACAACATGGGAATCTCATTCTTGAGGTATGTTACTCTTTAAAAAAAAGAAAAAAAAAAAAAAAAAAGAGAAAGACATGAAACGAGAACACAGACCCTTAAGCAATTAGACCAAAGTTACTCTGCAAATAATTTATTCCGTAAAAAATAGTGTTTCATCTTAGCGATATCACCTGGGGTATTTGCGTAGCATCAGCAAACGAAGACGATCTTTAGCCTCCTCGATGTTAAGGGGTGGCCTTTGTGAAAAGGTACCATCGTGGTCTAACCTACTACAGAGATTCTGGAGTTTCATTAGAAGCCCTGCTTTGTCTTGTTTTCCAACAGATATCCAGTGAACTCCTCCTGGAAAATAATCTGAACAAGCAAACAAGTAATTTTAATCATGTTATATATTTAGAATGAGAAATATTTAATAATAGCTTGTCACAGCAATCAATAATTCAATTAAAAAAAGAGAAAACTGTTCATAAAAACTATTATAAGCCAAGTTACCACTTTACCGTTTACATGGAAGGATGGTTCTACATGACCACTACCTCTTATTTCTAAAGGAACAAGCTATGTGGGGCAAGTACCACAGACAATTCACACAACCACTGCTGCTGTCCATCCTGTCCACCTGCCTTCCTGACTGATCCCTGACAGCCCCTTCTGCATCCGCCCTTCCGGCCAGTCTGACTCAGCACTCGCTCTTTTGACCTCCTATTACTACAGGAGTTCAAAGGCTAAGATCTGAAATTATCCCAAAACGGTGAGTAAGATGGTATTAGAGTCAGCTGTAGCAGGGAATGCTGCAGTATCTATCCCTGCATCAAGTTTTCTAATGCCTCAGTCCCACTTTCTCCTCCATGTGACCTATACAGTAAAAACTTCAGTAAGTGGTTGTATTTATGAACCATTATGAACTAAAGTGATAATATAGTAATCAGTTTCCCCAGGCTTGCTACTAGTAAAATATATGCAAAAACAATTCATATAGCATGGTGAAGAGTTGAAGGATTTCATGAACAGTGCTCGAAGAGCAGACATACTTATTTTACCTTTTAAAATTACAGAATTCATGTTTCAGGTTCAAGACTGAGCAGTAACTACTCTCAACGTAACACAGCCCCCACAGTGAAGAACTATTCATTTTTTTCCTCATAGATTAGTAAATATTTGGTGGAGCTAGACCACAAAATGGTTAAGAGGGCTCTAAGTTACAAACAAACATTTCAGGGTTGCCTAAGAACTTCTAAACCTAAATTCAAATTACTTTCAAGATGACATAAGATACTTAGTCAGGTATGCTCAAGATGCATATAAAAATGCATTTTTTAATAAATAATACAGATGTTTTTCTAAAAGTACCTTCCAAGAGCTGGTGATCCCTTAAAGCTTCTGCTGTTAAAACTGTCTTTCCACAACCTGCCATTCCATAAACCGTGACCCAACCGGGATCATTTCCCAAACAGCAGAGTTTCTGCTTAATGGCATCTACCAGTTTTGGACGCGTAACAAACACCACTGGTCTCTGTGGTACACCTCCTTCGCATAGGACCATCTTAACTGAAGTTAAAAAGAGAAATCACAAACAAGCAAAAAAGAAAAATACAGAAATGAAGAATAAATTAATACAATGTTGCTTCAAAAAAATCAAAACACACACAAAAAAACCTATTTTGCTACCTCCCCCCACTTGTGGCCCACAGAAGTGCTTTAAAACTACTGAACTAACCATGTCAGGCACTGGAGAGAAAAAAAAAAAAAGTGCTTTTCAGAAACAAGTTACTTTGCAGGCACCAGGTTACCCCTACAGTGGTGTCCCAATTAAAGAAGCTAAATAAACTGTATTCTTTTGCAAGCTAGAGCTGGTTACATCAATCCCTAAAAGCAAACAGATAATTAACAGTTCCAGTATTAACTATGGCAAATACATCACTATTTCCACCTGCCTAGTTGCTTTCTCAGACTGAAGTTGCTGCTAAACAGCAAGCAGCAGAAGGGAAAGCAAGCTGTGTAAGGTTCCTACCCTGTGGTCAAAGCTGACGTTGCCTAAGCTAATGCACAGTGAGAAGGTGATGGACACGCAACATAGTTAGTCCACTACTGGCCACAAAATGGACTATAGCTGCAGGATCCTACTTTATGATCAAGTTCTGGAAAACTTTAGTCAAGCAAACAAAAATCCAGGACTTTTTGAAAGTCTTTAAAATTCAGAGTGCAAATAATTACCCTGTAAGATTTACCTGACGTTTCGTCATATATGGTAAGGAGAGTTGTCCCATAAGACACTAAAAATTTATTTCACATCCACCAAACATGACAGTAATGAAAACTTATGTAAAATTTAGGAATTTATTCAAGGTAACCAAAAGATCTCTTGGAGAAAATTGAGCAATCTATTACCTAGATGTTGGTGTGTGGGGGGGTAAGATATACAATACTCAAGGGAAACTCAGAACTTAGAGACTGCAGCTTTTTAGCTTCTTTAATTCAAATATATATTAAGACTTTCACTTATAACAAAAATGTTAAGATTTAGGGGAAAAAAGCGAGAAGTTCAGGTTTCTGGGTTTGTTTTTTTTTTTTTTTTTTAAAGTAAGTACTACTAAGGAAGAACAATTTCAAAATAACTTGCATGGGACACAACCATCCTGTTACACCACATGAATTACACGAAATACAACAACACTGACTATACAAAACCAAAACGAATTCATTCATCAACTCCCCCTTTTTCATCAAAACAGGTATTAGAGTCAGTCATTTAGTAGAGAAAAATAGCACAGCCTGTCTTTACTTTCAAGCACAAGGATTGTCATAGACATACTGACCATATGAAGTCATTCCATCCGCAGAACTCTTCCCATTTCCAGCAGAGAAGACCGGGATGCCATCCTGAAGTAGCGCAGCAAGATCTCTGTACCCTTCATGAAGTAGTGCGTTATAGAAAGATCTATATGAATTATTATCCTTTTTAAGGATAATGTTTATTAGCATAGCTGCTCGCTCCTTCTGAGTATTCTAGAAGAAATATTAAAAAAAAAAAATACATAAAGCTAAAAGACTTTATCAAGCATTTAATCTATCTCCCTGTGTTCATTAATCTAGAATTAGGCTTCAACTTTGGCTTCAAACATGAACTGCAATAATAACTGAACACTAAGTATATGCCTGAAGAATCTGCTGAATCTGGGAATCATACACACTGAAACAAACATGAGGAAAAAGAATGCTAAAACACAGAGCAGCCTAGAAAGAGAAAAAACAGTGAGAGAGGACTCCACCTGTTGTTTTACTTTCTCTTCCTCCTGTAATGTCAATACTTGGTCAGCAATCATATGATCCATAATGTATGAGGTCTTGATGTCTTTTTCCAATGCCTGGCGATTCAGAAGCAGATAATTTCTACTCTTCACATCCATGTTTCTTCAGTGTGGAAAAGAAAAAAAAAAAACAGAACACAACTTAAAAGTAGAAAGAAAATAGTTTTAAAATATAAATTTATATTTTAAAAAGGCAGAAAAGGTAGCAGAATCATTATACTAGGGGAAAATACAGGGAGTTTTCAGGCAAACTCATACCACAAACTGCAGGAAGCTAAAATATTTAGTTCTTTTCACTTTCTGTCTTGATATAACAGTACTATGAAAATATATATATATAGTTTTTTATGAATTCTATCTGTCTATTCTAACTGTTTATGAATCACTAACCCAGCGTGGTTGGACAGCAGGAAAACATGTTAAAGTTTTAATAGTTTGCAAGCTTCTGTAGCTTTCTCTGAGTGCTCCTCTTAGGAAATCAGAAAGCAAGAATAAAACTATTTAATTCTACAATAATCAGCTTCGCAGCGCTCATTAGGTGAATGAAGAGTTTTATTTTAAAAAGTGTATACTGATGATTTTTGCAGAGTGAAGAACTAGCATGAGGCCATTTCCAAGTCTGCCTCAAGTTATTTTTTATACATTTTGCAGAACTAAAAATCATTGTCTGTACCAACTTCTTGCACATTAGGACCTTGCCAGATGGCAGAATCATAGAACCATTTTTGTTGGAAAATACCTTCAAGATCATCAAGTCCAATCCAAGCCCTTCACCGCCCTGCCTGCTAAATCATGTCCCTAAGCATCTCCTCTACACAGTTCTTGAACACTCCTGGTTTCTGGTAGCTGTAGACTGTGATATTGCTATAAAAAATACTTTTTGTCCCTCCTCTGCCACCCTCAATTTTTGGAAGTCCTGGGGCCATGTAATTGGGAGGACAGGGTGAGAAGGAAGTGCAGGCTGTGGCTGGCAGCCCTCGGCTGGATTAGGAAGAGAAACTGAGCTCCCTTCGTAACAAATCGCACTGGATAAAACAGTGTTTTCCCCAGCCCTGGAAGGAAACTCGGCCAGATGGGGGGGCTGACACCAGGCAGGCGACAGGAGCCCCCCGTGGGAGACCCTCCTCTGGCAGCAGCTGAGCGCTGGTCTGCACTTTTCCAGCATTCCATAAAATAATATTCCCAAAGAGAAGGGCCCCGGGTATTTTCTATCACCTGGAGGCCTCTCAGCACTGTCTGGCAGCCAGGAAAAGCGCCCAAATAGTCTTCTCATCCGCACGCCCATGCGGCGACCTAACAAGAGCTGTAAGGGCCACCAAGGGCCCCGAGAGCCAACATCAGCTGTAAGAGCTGCCAACGCTCCCGTGCGAGCTCCCTCCTTCCCCTCATCCCGGAGCCGGGGGCTGCAGCACCCCTGGACAGGCCCGTGCTGAGCCGCCTCCTTACCCAGACACAGGGAATTTTCTCTTTTCACCGGGAATTGCGCCGTGCGGGGAGCAGCCGCCGCCGTTACCTCGCGTCCCGCCGAGGCGTTCGGGGCTCCCAGCGGGGAAACGCAACAGAAACCGAAACAAGTTTCTCCTGCCACAGACACCGCGCCTGCCACACGGCCTTCTCCTTCTCCTCGTCCTCCTCGGCGGCGGCCCCGGCGGCGGCCCCGGCCCCGCGCCCGCGGGC